CTGACAAGTATCAGTTCATACAACAGCTGTGTAAAGACTTCATGAACTCTTCAAACTTAATGAACATCAAATAACAATAAACTAAAACAGAGATTTTTTTTTTGTAGTAGGATCTTAGTTTTAGGTTTTTTGTTTGGTTGGTTGGTTGGTTTTTTTGAGGAGTTCAGATCTTCAAAAACTTACTGTTGATTTCTTTTGCCTGTAGGGTAGAATACATCCATTCCATATTTTGGTTGCGTTAGAAACCTATAAAGCTGGACATGGAAGCAGAGGGAAGCTTTGGTGGCGTCCTGATGAAGACATTTTAGAAGCTTTAGATGCCTCGTTTTACAAAACTTTCAAGGTAATACAGTTATTCAATTTGTTAAGCTTTTTAAGAATTCTCTGTTTTCTGAAAGCTTATAAAATGATCAGGAAAAGTTTGTTCAGTGGATAACAATTTTAAAACTTTATAACAAAAATCTTAGGAATTGGGGTTTTATTAAACAAAAAAAATCAAAACTTCATGATATATTCATCTCTTGGCAACATTATTGTCCTAACGTTACCTCAGAAAGGATAAAAAAAAGCCCCACTTCCAGGGTTGAAAGCAGAAGAAAGAAGAAGAAATCAATCTATTAATTATGTGTACCTGTTTTCTTTCTTTTTTCCTTTTAGACAGTTGAACCAACAGGAAAACGCTTCTTACTTGCAGTTGATGTCAGTGCATCAATGACACAAAAAGTTTTGGGCAGCGTGCTCAATGCTAGCACAGTTGCAGCAGCAATGTGTATGGTGAGGCATTACACTTCTTTTATTTGTAACTATTTGCAGCTTGAGCTGCTCTTTTGATACAAAGGTGCTCTGAAGCTGGTTAGAAAGCAGAAGGAAGCTTATATATAATATTTTTTGGGTACGGAAGATGTGACCTTGTGACTCGCTGGTAGACCAGATGCTTAAATCTACTGGCAACCAAATTCAGAAAGATCAAATTGAAGAAGTTGGTTTCCAGTATAAATCAAACTGGTCAAGACTGCTTTTTCACCTACCTTAGCTGAAAATACATTTTATTTTTTTTCAGAGGCATTCATAGAATAATACAGATTGGATTAAGAAATTTTGAAATAATTCTTGTGTGCATTTGAGTTATCAACATGGCCCTTGTATCATAATCACTTTCCCCTCAATGTGGTATTCTAAAGCTTCTTGTGTATCTCTATTATAGTGGAGTCAAATATTTGTTGGTGTTTAAAAATGGTTAGTTTTTTATGTCAGAGGGGAGAGAAGAAATATGGAGGTATCTTTAGTTACAGTAATTAGAGCAGTCCTTTAGCTCTGATTTTTGCAATGTTTATTTGCAGTAATATTACAGAATATTTAAAGTGTAGAGTGAAGCAGTAGTGCATATGAGGAGCCATGGTGACTTAAATACAAAAGGATATGTCATGTTGTGTGTTTGGTAGGGAATGCCTTGATTCAGACATTAAAAATTCTGAATAAAATAACTAAATTATTTTTGTCTTCCTCTTTCTCAGGTTGTAGCACGTACTGAGAAGGATTCCCATATTGTTGCCTTTTCACATGAAATGGTCCCTTGCCCAGTGACGGCTGATATGACGTTACCTCAAGTATTAGTGAAAATGTATGAAGTATGTAAAAAAAAAAAAAAAAAAAAAAAAAAAAATTGGGAAATAGTTGTTGCTAACCTCAGAGTGTAGAAGTCTCAGCAGTTACACTGTATTTTCTTTGTAATCAATTCTAGTACTGTGTTTAGTCCATATCCGTATAGTAAAACACTGGATTTTTTTTCTCCCTTTTATTTAGAGAATGCCCAGCAAATGTCATTATTTCAACAGCCAGATGTTAAACATTGCAATTTAGAATGGCAGTGTTAGGTCACAATGAATTAGTTTGAAAAGAATATTAAAAAAATCAAACAAAAAAATCCCTGGACAAAACTGAAATTAAATGAATAAGTGAACTGTTGTTTAACAAAGAAGCCTCTGTGTGTGATAAAACATGAAGCTTACATAAAAAGTAATCTTTCCCTGGTTTACTAATTTCTGTATTGATGTGTTCCATGTATATTTTTTTTTTCTTTTAAGATTCCAATGGGTACCACTGATTGTTCCCTTCCAATGATATGGGCTCAAAAAACTCAGACAGCTGCTGATGTCTTCATTGTATTTACCGATAACGAGACCTTTGCGGGAAATACTCATCCTGCAACAGCTCTTAGAGAGTACAGAGAGGTAAATATGCTTCTGACTGTTTATAATTGATGAATACAGTACAAAACAAATACCGGTTCTAAAAATGCTTTAGACTGAACTAGTGGCTTTTTTCAATAGTTACATATTGTTAAAAACTGATATATTTTGTAGTTAGGCAGAATTAGTGCACATATTGCACTCATTGTGCATATGTAAAACCACTGAATTGCTAAAAGGGTTTGTAATTATCCCACCCTGCTCAGTGTACTGCTATATCAATGAAAATTTATTTGGTATTCAGGGAATATATGAATTTCTGTGTTCTATATATAATCGAATAAGTTTTCTTACAGAATGAAATTCGGCTCACAGAATTAAATCTAACTTTGATGTCTGCAGTAGATACCACAAAGTTTAAATGAAGTAATGAAGATAAGCTTGTAGGGAAGGTGTCAGTAGGATGAAGTGACAGTATCTTGTGAAGAAAGCTCATTATGTTTTAAAGGGGCTACTGTAAGCTGTGCAGCTTCATAATTTTAAAACAGAACTAAGAAAATTACCTTCTCCAAGCACATTGCTATTCAAAACTCTTATTTTATCAGCAAACAATCTTTTATGGTTTAAAGGAACTATTTTTTAAACTACAAAAAATACTTTTTGGCAAGCATGTATGTATGGACATTAATCGTAGTATCCTGTCCACCCAGTTGAAATTAATACCAAAAATCTTTAGCTTGTCCACTGTGTTTTAGTTTTCTTAGCTGAGATTAGCTTCCATTCCTAAATCTGTTCTTTAAACAAAGAGTTTCTGTACTCTGGCTTTCATGCCACTTGCTTTGCTTTACCTTAGAGGTTACTAACCTGCAAATTCAGCTCATTTAGCAGAATTGTCCAGGCCACAGTTGTTGTGTTTGTTCAACCAACATTTGGAAATCCTTGCCTTAGAAAAAACCACACTCTTTGACTCCTATTAGATGATTTGATAATTATTATTGAAAGTTTTCTCTCAGAATGAACTGCAGAATAGCAAATGCAATCTTTGCATTTGAAATAATCTATGAATCTTAGTATTGCAGGAAAGTTGTGCTAATATACCTCATTGTAATTATTTCCATTTATTTAAATATATCTGCTGCAGGTTAAGTACAATGTTAAAAGGCAGTCTGCAATTCTGGTTATGGCATATCTAGTTTCTGTCAGTATGCGTATTCAGACAGTGGTTTATGCAAGCAAGATAGCAAGATTTGGCCCTCTGGCATGTTTAAGTATACTTAAACTGTATATGTGTGTTCTGATTATTTTTTTTTTGTCCTTCCTCTAGAAAATGGGTATTCCTGCTAAATTGATTGTTTGTGGAATGACCTCAAATGGTTTTACGATCGCAGATCCAGATGACAGAGGCATGTTGGATATATGTGGCTTTGATACAGGAGCTTTGGATGTTATTCGAAACTTCGCTTTGGATTTGATTTAATTTTCTAGGCATCTGCTCTTCCCAGTGGATCCATTGCTGGCAACAGACTTCACCCTGGGAACTCCCAGCCAAATATACTTTATTAGAATATGGCACATTATATACATATCAGAATGTTACCTTTTTGTGAAGGGAAAACAAGAAAAGCAGATGAGAAATCTCTTTTCTTTTTTCCTGTTGCACACAATTTAAAATAACAGTGGGAAGTTTGCTAAAAGTAGCTACAGGGCTATACAATACATAATTTCATTTATAATATATTATAAATACTGAGAGATTTTTAATTTTTCCCTCCCCTTGTTGCTGTGGAATGCTTGTTTGCAAGAATAAATTGATGAATTACTCTTAGGATGGGGTAGGAAAAAAAAGTGGGTTCAGTATTTTTAATAATGTCAGTTTAACAGCAACTTCATTGAGAGGGTTTTTTTCTTTGGGCTTTTTTTAATCTTTGTATTTTAAACAAATTACTAAGGTTCAACAGTTTCCATTGTTACACTTCAAATCTACAGAAGAAGTATTTTCTGGCACGTATGAGACCATGTGACTGTGATGCAGTATAAAAGTTACCCAGTGAAATTTTATACTGATAAAACTGAAAGTGGAAGAGCTCATGCTAATCTTTTTCTATCTAGATTGTCCCCTGGGTCTTCAGGAGTAAAGTGTAATTCTCTTTAGATAAATTGAGGGGTGGTTTCTGTACAATGCAGTTTCAGAAGCACTATTTTAGATTTAATATGCTTTACAGGAAGTTCTAAAAACTGTTTTTAGTAGAAAAAGACCTTGGAGATGGCTGGGAAGCCATGTTATAACTCCAGGAAGCATCAGCACACTTTCAGTGAGGAAGATCAACAAGTGCATGTGTCTTGGCCTGCTCTTGAAAGCTGAGTGGTAACAACCAGAAACAAAAAGTTACATTTTCTTCAAAAGAATGTATTCAATGATACAGAAACAATCTTCCTAACAGGAGAGTATTTCATTTGTTAAAATCTTTTTGTAGATTAACGTTACTTCTGATTTAGTAAATTAAGTCAAGCTAACATTTTTCAAAACTACCTCCAGTTTATAGTGACCAATTCTTAAAACCTTTTATGAAATGTACAGTTGCCTCCTTCATGTTCTCAAAATCTTGGTTAGGAATTGATTGAAACTGGATTTATTTTTTTTTCAGTCTGATACTAGGAGTGTGAGTAAATAAGGAGAAAGCTAGTGAATATCTTATCACTTTGGAACAGGAATTGATAGCAATTCATGTGTATATGTATTTAATTCTGTGTGTGTGTTTTTATATATGTGTGTATAGGGGGGAGGTTAAAAGGTCTCTTTAGTAGATCACAATCTTAGAAGACAAGAAAGGTTTTTTAGTGATGCTTTTACAACTTCCCCTAAGACATATGTATGTCAGCCTCTTTTATGCTAATTCTGGCTGTTTTAAACAGTGAATTTGATGTTAATTTGAAAATAATTATGATTTATAAAAATAACCCAGTTGTGGTAAATGACATGTAAGACCATATTTTTCTGCCTAAACCCCAAGCTTTTAAATGTAAAATTCAAGTTCATATTATACTTTTGATACTTGTAACACTTTTCATTATGCCTCATACATATTGATTATAAATGCAAAGCTCTCATTCTGTAGGATGGATACCTCTTTTGGTGCTAAAATGTGAGGTTACATGTTACTGAAGGTATTCTGCTACATACTTATACTCTACCTTAATGAATAAATCAAAACAGTGAGGGAAGCCTTGTCTACCATTAAAACCATGGCTTAAAGAACTGACGGTAGGAATGTTACCTTTCAGTGGACATGAATGTAGTTACTTCTGAATTACCACTGCTCTTACAATACAGCTCTGGTAGAATGCTTGAAGAATACAGGACTGCCACCAGCTTGTCAGGTGACATCTAGAAAAACAAGTGTTCCTACAAAAGCTGAGACATAGCACTTTGAGTTTGAAAAAGAAAATTAGCCATTTCCTATGAAAAATTTCTTACCACTTTTAGTCTCCTTTCTAAGTAAACACCATGAATATGGGGAGTAAACTCATTTGCTCAATACATGTTAATAATTATTTCAAGTAAATGCACTGATGTTTGGGGGTTGGTTTTGGTAGTAATGTGTTTTAAATTACACAATAGTCAAACATCTGATCAGTTGTTTCCTTCTAAGCTAGAGATGTTGAAAATAACTGATAGATAAGTATCTTTTGCAAGTACTTTTTCTTTTTTGGAGTAGTATTTGTGAAGTAATAGGAAATATTTTGGACTAAATATAAAATTAAAACTTAAACAGGTATTTCAAGTAACTTTATGCAGTTAATTGTATAAATTTACTGCAAGTGAAAGATTAGACTAGTTACTAACAGCTTGAATGAACGGTTATAGTAGTGTTGCATCTTTGAAAGCAGTCCAGTTTAAAATACAGTTCCTTGAACTAAAGTGTAAGTGAAGATGAACTTTTCAGTAGAACTTAGAGAAAATGTAGCTCCCTGTATCTATTGACGCTGGATAGCTATGCACCATGTTAAAGATAGTCATCCATGCTGGAGTACATACTGTGCTCCTAAATATTTACCATATCTCTGTACAAAAAATTTTGTTAGAAATAGAATATTGTAAGTGGTTTGGTTATCCGATGTAAAACTAGCACCAACGAGATCATGTTGTCATCTGCTCCTCCTTTAAGATTTTCACAGAGAGGGGAAACTGAAGTAAATGCTGACAGCTGAAACTTTGTAGTGTGTTTCTACCGTTTTCTGTCTGGTTTTGTTATTATCTTACAGTAAGGGGCATAGAAGAATGATGCTGCATATTCGTTTTCCATAGACTGGATCTTTTTTATCTGCCCGTATTCTGAATTTTAGGGGACAGCATGACTCATTTGCCATAACATAAATTTGCCCTGATTTTAGTCTTTAGTTATTAAACTGATAATTTCCAAAATGATATCTGCACATGTAAAGAGGCAATAATTGCTGTAATGTTTTGTTTTTTTTTTTTTAAAAAAAGTGAGCTAAGACAAAGTTGCTAAGCTTAAGCATTAGTTCAGTATACAAGAAATAACCTAGCCTTTCACCAAAGAGGAGACGCTGACTCTTTCAAGTTAATAGTGTTGTTTGCATTGGAGGAATACTTTGACTAACAAAACAAAAACGGGGCTATAATGTTCACTGCAGTTCACCAGTAAAAATTGAACAGGGACAAGTTTAAAAAGAGTTAATTTTATTCAAAACATTAATTAAAAAAAAAGTCAAAATGCAAAGTGCAACTGTAGACTGGGTGAATGCAGGTTTCCTGATATCTAACAGAATTAATAGCCTTTCAGTTTGACTGCCATTTCACTGTGACCCCTTAACAATTCTTAAGTATTAGACTGTTACGTCTAAGACTACAATGTTCAGGCACTTTAGCTTTAAGAAAGAAGAAAAGGATGTAATGGTTGGAAGCACAGCAGAGGTAAAACATTCTTCTGTAATGAAGGGCTGTAACAAATGAACATCAAAGGTCAGGTTTCTTTATGGAAGGGATTCAATCAAGAATGTGGAGAGGGCAGAAGGCACTCAAGATTTCTTAAAAATCATGCAATACATACATCAGCATTGTATAATAAATTGAATAAAGACAGTAATAATTTTGCCAAGAAATACAATTTCGTGTCAGGAATTTAGAGCTATAGCAAGGAGGAGGAAACTTTAGGATGCTTGTAGAATTAGATTACAGGCAAAATACAGGGTCTTCACCTACAATCCGATGTGTTTAAACAAGAGAAGTCTAAAAGTAGGTATAGGTCTGAAGTCAGGAGGGCCCGTCTAAGTGCCCACCATGTGAGGGCCACTAATAACTGGCCCTAAAATATCTTGCTGCTTAAAACCACTGTTAAACCTGTTTGTTAAACATAAATCATTAGGGGGGTTGTGTTCTGCTTTTTCACTGTTGTTGTTTAATTGGGGCCTCTATGGCTTTAAAAGACTATCCAACGAAGTATTTATTCTTGGCTTAAAAAATACACCAGCAGTTTTGGAAATGTATTTTAATAATGGCTCTGTCTGTAAAAACACTAGGAAAATATTTTTCTTCATTGCAAAATACTGTGCTGCTTAATCACATACCTAACTCACAGCCACCATACCAGAAGCATAAGTATTGGTTCCGTTTATTTTGTTTCTTGCATTACCTTTTTGCTTTCCCTTCCTTTTCTCTGTTAATGTTGGCTTTTTTCTCCTTTCCCATCTCCTTCTCACCTCAGGCCTATACTTGAATTGCTGTTCACATACAAGCTCTCGTCCATTCCTTTTTTTTGCCTCTGTTCTTCTTCTGCCTTCTGTGCTGCCATTGAGCATGCTGGCTTAGCTAAATAACTTCTACCAGAACTGATGTCATAGTATTTATCTTAATTTTAAAAAAATGGGTAATTTGTTCTTTCCTTTGATTATATAAATCCCTTATAAAATATTTAATTTGCTCTATCAGATTTTTGGTAAAACTTTGTGCAAAGATCAGTGACAAAAGTATACTTCGTTTATTTAAAAAAATCCAACATCTGCCTGTGAATGGCTTTATTTTTATAAAGTAACCACTTAAAACTGGCTTTTCAGATTTAAAGCTTTTTTCTAGAATTAGTTCAGTGTGTTGGAGCTTTCCGTTCTGTTAAATATTATCAAGCAGCTGTTACATGCAGAATTAGGGAAACACTTAAATTAATATTCTGGATAAATGGGCAGCTTCTTTGCAGTATTGATTAGAGAAAATCTTCAAAGACTAGGATGTAGAAGTAAACCTAAGCAAAGGATCATTTGTCTTGCTTGCACTTTTAATCCTTTTTTTTTTTTTTTTTTAAGCATTCCATCAGTTTATAGGTTCATTTTGCTATTTGCAGTGGTTCACGGTGGACAAATATGCTGTAAGCTGTTTTAATGACTTTATTGCTGGAATGGTAGAGATTTCATCTTGCCATGATGCGGTATAGTGTACAACATTGCTGAGTAAGAGTTATGGGGGGAAGGTAAAACACTAGGACAGCGTATCGTGTATGTGCTGCTCTGAGAGCTAAGATTTAAGATTAGCTAATTTCAATTAAATATGTGTGCTTACGTTTGGATTTATAATTTTGATACTGTAAAGCGTGGTTTCTTTAGGTATTTCTGCATTCTGAATTTAAGTTTAAATATATATATATTTGCATATATATATGTGGTATGTTGAGAACTTTTACAAATGCTTCATTAACAAATAATGAATATAAATAGTTGTTTTCCTAATGTTACCAGCT